TAGTATTATTGAGGCTTATAAAATTTGATTGATGATGAGATATATTAGATTTTAGAATTTACAAAAATGACAAATTGTACCGTAATACTCCGTAGGACTTTTATCAGTCAAAAGCTTTTGGCGTAAGTGTCTTCCACTCTTCATGTTTGTTCGTTGCGCGGTAGAAAATAGAGCCAAACAGGCGTCTCTGCTAACGTAAGCCCCTCATCCGCTAACCTAAGCCGCAGCGCGCATTACCATTTTACCAAACCCCTCATCACTCCCCACCATGCCCGGAAGATCCCTCAAACTCAACGCACTCACTGCCTCTATCCACTGCTCTCCCAAGCCTCACAATCGCCTCCGTCCCCTCACATCCGCCGCCGCCGACGCCGACAAGCTTAAGTTCCCGGCGGTGCCGACGACGCGCGCCTGGTGGCGGAGGAGGATAACTACGATTCCGCCTCTGTCGCACGATCGAATCTTCCGCGATCATTTTGTTCTAGGTTTTCGCGTTCGCAATTATCCTTCTCATCTTGCTGCGAGGAGTATCTCCACCGCTCACATGGGCTCCAATCCCCACAACAAGGATGGCCGGCTGTTGAATGCTTCATCGCCACCTCGCCATGATAAGCCCTCTCAGCGCCCTCACAAGTCTGCTAAATTGCTCACATTGCCCACAATCTTGACCATTGGCCGCGTAGTTGCTGTTCCGCTTCTCGTAAGCTGTAAGTTCCGCAGTTAATGTTTTCAGGTGTCCTTTATGTGTGGATTATTATCTGCTTGTTTGATTTTGCTTAGCTTGACTGACCTTTTTCCCAAGTGGATATATTGTGCACGTTTTTCAGGATTTATTGCATGAAAATATTGCATGTTTTTCATGGCTTTTGTACTACGGAGTATTTTATTGTTTCTACTAGACTAGAAGTTGAATCATGATGCTTCTGGATTTCATTTATATTGTTTACTTGGATTTTAATTGATGAATTCCCCCCCTTTTTATTGATGAATTGTTGCATTAAAATTCCTCTTTGACAAGCAGCATTTTAAATGTAAGGATTTTTGGGCATTGCTACCTGAAAGACAATACATAAATCTTAAGTGTTAAGGTTGTTTCAATATTAGTCCTGCCTTTGAAGTGCAATGCATTCTTGTTGAAATTTTGATGGCTACTACTGGGGAGTTTAGTGGCAGTCAAAACAACTGCTAGAGTGATTGGTAGAAATGAGAAAGACTTTGGCGACAACCTTGTATGAGTTCTACTGCTCTCCACAAATAAATTTTCGAATAAGGTTAATCAATGTTCTATGACCCATTTAAGAAGTTAGAAACCTCAGATGGATGGCTTAGGTTGTTCTTCTATGATCAGTGATCATTATTAGAATACCCAATTTAAATCAGCATTATATGTGAGAACTAATTTTGGACCTTTTAAAACTAGCCTTCTATGTGGATAGCTGGTGGGGACCAGCAGCTACCACTGGTATCTTCATTGCCGCAGCGATTACTGATTGGCTTGATGGGTATATTGCTCGAAAGGTATTGATCTGTGCACTTTTCCATAGATTGACCTATTATAAAAACTTGTCTTTGGTTTTGCAACTAAATTTACAAATTTGATTGTTCAACATAATCCAGCTGAATTTGGGGACTCCTTTTGGTGCATTTTTAGATCCAGTTGCTGATAAGGTATTCTCCTTGATGGAAATTCTTATTCATTCCCTCTGGAAAATTGAGTAGCAAAAGATGCATCAATCTTTCAAAGCACAGAAACGTTTTCATATTAGCTTTATAAGGATTGTGAAAGGATTTAATATAGTTTCCTTTTGACCGTAACAGCTAATGGTTGCTGCCACCTTGGTCTTATTGTGTACCAGACCTTTGGAAGCTAGTGTTTTTGGACAGTTTCCATGGCTACTGGCTGTACCTTCAATAGCTATTATTGGTAGGGAGGTGAGTTTATTTTTTCTTTTCCTTTTCACTTTTCTGTGGTCTTTTCCTGCATATTATCAGTTGAGTAAATAATCTCTTGTTTATTACTCATATTTTCTCTCCCCTAGGAGATAAGCAAACATGTAAATATGAAGTTCCATTTTGTTTAATCAGAATGCCAATTTTCTTGTGATTGTAAATTGAAAACTCAACCTTTCTTCCATTTGTTGATAAAGAAACTGAGTACTGAAATTTGTTTAGCATATGCTTTATTATGTCCAATGTTTTGGGAATTTTGAAGCGGGACTGTTTGCATATTCTAAAATGTAATATGCAAAAAGACACTGAGCCCTGTGTGGGGTAATAGTAGTTTTTAAATGGGTACTTAAAAGGGGAGGAGAGCATGATAAAGGTTGTAAAGGTGGGGAACTGCTTTTATGTTATAATATCATTATAAATTTTACATCATGACAGATTGACAGCCTTGTTTATTTTGCTAATTCTCAGTAGTTACTAAACAATTCATTACTTTTTAGATTCTTTCCTGTAATATAGACAGTTACAAGGTAAAGATATTTCATATAAGCAATTCCAGATTACTGTTCTAACACAGCTATTTTGCATTACTTAGACATTGTGGTATTTTTCACTCTTCCATATTCTCCAACTCTCCAAGGAGTAGAGTACACTTACCAAGCCCAAATTCTTATATAGTCTGTTGAATATAAAGCCCAAAATTGAAGTCCATAAAAACCTTGTAAATAAATGAAGCATACGGTAGCTGCCTGTACGAAGAATTGAACCAATGACCTAAGAACTGATGCTACTTCTTTCCCTGCTTCATTGGATCTTCTTTAACTTCTATGATTTGGCAATCAATAGCGGTATTTGTTTGTAATGAGGACAACATTTTTCATATGTAGATTACAATGTCTGCAGTTAGGGAATGGGCAGCTTCTCAGGGCAGCAAACTTTCAGAGGTACAAAGCGTTTTACACTTTTACTTGGGACTGCCATTTTCATTCTAAAGTACATCTCCAGGTCTATTTGTTTTAACAACCCTGTTATTTTTCTTCAGGCAGTTGCTGTGAATAGCTTGGGAAAGTGGAAGACTGCCACTCAGATGACAGCATTAACCATCCTCCTTGCCACGAGAGATAGCAGGTGAGTTTGCTCAATCTTGGATTCTTGGGATAGATTTCTGCATTGGTCTGAAGGTAAAAAAAGAAAAAACATTAATGAGAAATGCTTATCTGATTGGCCATTGATTAATCCGTCCTCTTTTCCACCTTCTCTCTCCATCCAGCCTCGCCGAATCAGGAGCTCTTGCAGGTTCTGGTGTGGCGTTGCTCTATATTTCAGCATGGCTCGCTGTCTGGTCTCTAACTGTGTACATGAAGAAGATCTGGAAAGTATTGTTGCTCTAGTAGTCTCAGCGAATAGATTCATTCCTTCTCAAACTGCCATGATTCGTTACATTTTAAAGTAGTTTCTATTAGTGCCAGCTCGCTTGCTCGGCGAGCTTCCTTTCTAATCCACAATTAAACTATGGAGAAGTTATCAACTGATATCTTGCACCATACATGTTGGAATTATCACTGATCTCTTGCTCCATACAGTTCATAATCCTGAAGGCCATTTAGCATTTTGACGGTGAGGAAGTAGGGACTGAGAATCACAGAATGAAGATGCAGGGAGTTTTGGTTTTTCTTTCTGTATTCTTTTAGAATTTACAAACAGATCTAGTAGGATCTGTAAGACTCTAACTTGGTATCTGACCACAAAAACATTTTATATAAATGATAGAAATATTTAGGAGTCTATTATTAGTATATATATGTTTGGCAACTGTAATAATCCTTGTGTTATCTTTTATTAGTAATTTGGATTTATAAAAAATAGAAAAAGGTTCACCACTGCTTTATCAAAAAGAAAATTCATCATTCTCCCTATGGGTTTTGTTTGTAGACTAATCTTTTTAATCACTACTCCGTATTTCATTTATATATATGTAGTAAAGAAGGACAAAGGGTACATATTTGAAAGACAATGCATAGATATAATGACTCAATTATATGGAATCAGAAGTAAAAAGGTGCATTTTCATTCATGTAGTAGACAAGGACAAAGGGTACAAATTTATTATACAATTATAAATGGAATCAGAAGTAAAAAGAGGCATTTGGTTAGTTGTCAATTGGTGGGAGGAGAAAATAATTGTTGAGAGTGGGATTTGAACCCACGCCCTTTCGGACCAGAACCTTAATCTGGCGCCTTAGACCAACTCGGCCATCTCAACTGTTATACAAGTTAGAAAGACAAATTCATTATAACGTAAAAGAGACAACTTGTCTATTCGTGAGCGGAGAAAATAATCGTTGAGAGTGGGATTTGAACCTACGCCCTTTCGGACCAGAACCTTAATCTGGCGCCTTAGACCAACTCGGCCATCTCAACTGTGTTATGTATTTTGACAAATTACATTTGAAATGAAAGACCAAAGGGCAAAAAGAATAATGTTGTAAGTAAAGGGCATAAATTAGTAAATTACTCCGTACAATTTTCTATATTTGTCCAAATGAGGATAAATCCTACAATCACGATTAGAGCATCTACAATGGTGGAGTTTTTTTTTTTGTTTTTGTAAGTGTGATTAATAATAATAATATGGAAAGAGAGAGAAAAAAATAAACAAAATTGATTTTTTAAAGAAAATATATATAAAACAACTCTATCGGGCGCATGCAACTCACGCGCTCGTGTGACTATTTGTTGTGCGCAAAATGTATTGATTTTGAACTAATTTGCACTGTTCCAATAATCACACCTTGCAATCTTTTTCTTCTCTCTCTCTATTTCTCTCTACACCATCTAAGTCATTACTGTTCCAATAACCTTTTATTATTCACTGATATTGATGGTATTAGGTGGTCTATATGTTGAGAATTGAGATTTCTTGCCGACATAGTAACTAGTATTTCATAAATCTCGTATCAAAATTTGCACTGTTCAAAATGTACATGACATCATCCGTATCCGTATATAATAATACTCCCATTCGGCGACCAGATTCCGATCGTCCAGATCTGCGATCAAAAGTCAAAAGTCAACCATTTCCCCTCCGTTTGCAAACAGTGTTACCTCATGTTTCCTACGTGTCCACCCACCATTAGTCCATCTTCTTCACGCTTCCAATCATATCGAAACACGTGTCACATCCACCATCCCCCTTCCAGCGGGCGTTTTCTCTGTGACGCTGAAGAAAACGCCATTTCCGCTGCTCAAATCTCAGTAATAAAAAACGTTCACTTCACACCACTTGAGTTGTCTGTCAGCTCTCTACAATGGCTTCCCCGAGATCGATTGCAGTCCTATCTATTCTGCTGCTGTTCCTCATTTCCTTCCAAACGGCGTCGTGCGCTGCCGACACCAAGAGCAAACCCGCGGCGGCGGCGGACGAGGAAGAGGACCTCAGCTTTCTCGAGGACGACGACTCCGTTTCGTCCCATTCCGATCCCTACGACCACCTGCCTGACTTCGAGAACTACGACGACCTCGAGGACGACCATGCGGACACGGATCACGGCTACGACGACGACTCCTACGAGACGCCCGCCGTGGACGAGAAGGACGTGGTGGTGCTCAAGGAGGGGAATTTCAGCGACTTCATCGCCAAGAATAAGTACGTGATGGTGGAATTCTACGCGCCCTGGTGCGGCCACTGCCTGGCTTTGGCGCCGGAGTACGCGGCGGCCGCCACTGAGCTCAAGGGCGAGGACGTGACCTTGGCCAAGGTGGATGCTTCTGAGGAGGCTGAGCTGGCGCAGAAGTACGACGTTCAAGGCTTCCCCACTATTTACTTCTTCATTGATGGTGTTCACAAGCCCTACAATGGCCAACGGAGCAAGTAAGTTGCTTTAGCTTTCTGGCATTTACTTATGTATAAGTGCATAACGTATTATAGTAAAACAGCAATTGCCAATTTATGACTTTAGATTTGCCAATTTATCTAGTGGGTTGTAGTTAAGGAAAGAAGGTCGAAATGGAAATGCCAGTAAAATTAAAGAAATTTTCTTACAAGAATAGTAGAAGATAGCAGTGTAGCACATCAATTGAAAAGCTTGAGTAAATGCTTCTTGGTAATATAGTATCCACTTATTTTTCTTGTTTTTGCAGAGATGCTATTGTTACATGGATAAAGAAGAAGACTGGACCAGCTCTATCCAACATAACAACAACTGAGGATGCAGAGCGGATCTTGGAGAGTGAGCCAAAAGTTGTTTTGGGATTTTTCGACAGTTTGGTGGTAAGAGTTGCACATAGGAAGCTGATTGATGATTTTATTTATCATGATTTCAGCAAGCTTACTTTGCTTATACAATGATTGAACATATAATCATGAGAATCTGACTATTTAATGTCTGATAGCTAGCATGTGCTTATGCATTGTAGCCAAATGAAACTAAGTTTTGATCAGCAGGACCTTGGGATTGAATTTTAATCGGCAGAATTTAATGCTTTTTTCCTTTTATTGATTTCAGTAAAGAATGTACTTCTCTCTCTCTCTACACAAATGCACGTATGTACTTATTTATATAATGTTTGCAGGGCTCTCACAGTGAAGAACTTGGTGCTGCTGCAAAACTTGAAGATGATGTCAACTTCTATCAAACTGCCAATCCTGATGTAGCAAAGCTGTTCCACCTTGATCCCCAAGCCAAACGTCCAGCTCTTGTCTTGATTAAAAAAGAAACTGAAAAAATTAACCATTTTGGTTAGTATTCTGGATGTCATGATTTAAAGATTTAATGTTATAATGTTATTCATAAACAATGTTTAATAATTTTCTTGTGTTCTTGCAGGTGGTCAGTTCACAAAATCAGCAATAGCTGAATTTGTTTATGAGAACAAGCTTCCTCTTGTCAACTACTTCACCAGGGAAGGTGCACCGGAGATATTTGAAAATCCAATCAAGAAACAGGTGAAACTTAAGTTAATCTTGCATTCTCAATGTATAGACTATTAGACTGACTTATTGCAGGTCTTTGAGCTTTATATTGTTCATTTTACTAGTTTGGCATCATTCTATTAGCGTGAATGAGTAAATTACTTTGTCTAGTTTTAAGCAAAGGAATTCCTTGGGTTAAAATAGCCATCAATTTAGCTTTATATGACTACATTTTTGGTTTTATAGACAAATTTTACATTGAGATTAGTCATCATTGTTTATGCTTACACCTTTCTTTTCCTCCTCAGTTAATTCTTTTTGCCACTTCAAATGACTCAGACAAGTTTCTTCCCCCATTCCAAGAAGCTGCAAAGTCTTTCAAAGGAAAGGTATGCTTTCAACATTATTCTTACTATATTCATTTTCTATTTTTATATTATTCTCACAATACCATTCATGATGAGGATATTGGTAGCACTTACCAGAGATGCGAGGGGGGTTGGAGTCAATTGCATGCTTTGGGGGATTAATTTGTAAATGTCAAAGCATACTTTTGGACAAAAATAACCTCTATTGTGCAAAAACATTGAACTGCAAAGCTTTGTGTTCTGCATTCAAGTATAGCATATTCATAGTTAAAGTATAGATGACTTCCCACACTTATCTACAGTTTGATTCTCTCTTGCTAAGAATTTACACTCATTTCCTCAAGCGGATTCCCTCCAGTGCTCACTTCAAGTCAAAGATGATTGTATTATTATCATATTAAGAGTTAAAAAGCTGATGATTATGTTTTCATTTTGTTGTAGCTTATCTGTGTTTTTGTGGAGATGGACAATGAAGATTTTGGAAAACCAGTATCAGAATACTTTGGTGTTACAGGAGATGCTCCACAGGTGAGTCACTGTAGTTTAGTATGTTGTATTCATTACCTTCACTTATAAGATAAGCTCTATAACTTGGCACATAATTGCAGGTCATCGCTTATACCGGAAATGATGATGGCAGGAAGTTCTTATTGGAAGATGAATTGACCTCAATCAATATCAAGGTTTGTTTTGTCACTTTCCTTTAAATTGAATGGTATTAAGATCCTTGTACTAGAGAAGATTGATATTGTCACATTTGTAGGCAATGAGATCTTTTTCAAAATGTTGGGATGATGAAATTACATAATATCAGATGAAGTTTTTTTGCCAGTGAAGGTTCTTATTGTATATTTGTTTATTGGCTCTGTAGTCCTTCGGAGAGAAGTTTTTGGAAGACAATCTAAAGCCCTTTTACAAGTCAGAACCCATTCCTGAGAAGGTAAGTTTATTGGCTTACTTCAATCAATAATGGCAAGCCTTGAATCCAAATCCTATGCTCACATTTTACTGATACAGAATGATGGTGATGTCAAAATTGTGGTTGGAAATAACTTCGACGAAATTGTTCTTGATGAATCTAAAGACGTTCTTCTTGAGGTACCTATTGTGTCTCCACTATCAATGATCACACACTACTGGCTTGCAATTGATTATCTGAGTTTGAATTCTGACTCTGGTTTTGTATCAGATATATGCTCCTTGGTGTGGGCACTGCCAATCACTAGAACCTATATATAACAAGCTCGGCAAGCATTTGAAGGGAATTGACTCGCTTGTTATTGCCAAGATGGATGGGACAACGAACGAGCACCCTAGAGCAAAGGTACTTCTATGTCTTTATTAGATGGATTATCATTCCATGCTCGATTCTATATGATGCATTCTCGGACAAACATATTCATGGAAATTATTTACTCGGTTACAGTCTGATGGATTCCCGACACTTCTTTTCTTCCCAGCTGGGAACAAGAGCTTCGAGCCAGTAAGTAGTATATCCTTATTTTCTCCCAACTTCCAACCATCCATCCCCTCTCTAGAGAATAGAGCTAATGTTTCGTTGCCTTCACAGCTTACTGTGGATACTGATCGCACTGTGGTCGCCTTCTACAAATTCCTAAAGAAGCATGCGTCGATTCCTTTCAAGATTCAAAAACCGGCTTCGTCTCAGGAATCTGAGACTGAAACGCCAACGAGCCAGGAGACTACTACTACTACTACCACTACCACTGGTGATGTAAAGGATGAACTGTGAGAATATTTAGCGTAGATTATAGCGGTTCCAGCATAGATCCCAGAACAAATTCTGCTTTAACAGAGAAAAGAGGGTGTAAGGAGTAAAGGCAATAGAAAACAACAAATTTATATTAGAAATGAGAAATGTTGAACCAGTAGTGTCTGTTTTATAAACTCCTTTTTCTTTTCCCCCTAACTTCCTCTTCTTTGTGACCTAATGCAATGTGCTTTGACATTTGGCAAGTTGTGATTTTGAATCCTGAATCAAATAGTTTTTTTTTTTTTTTTTTTTTTTTTTTTTTTTTTTTTTTAAATGTATGCAATTTTGAATTTTTTTTTTTAAATGTATGCAAGTTGTGATTCATGCTCACATTTTTACAAGTATTTCACAAATAATATTTTTAATTTTCTCTACAAAACATTTCCTTTTAATCAAATTCCTAGTTATTTTTTAGTGTACATTAATTTAATTCGTGATTTTTTTAAAAAAATATTAGATTTAACTCGTAAGTTAATACTATAAAGTTAATAATTACCATTCAAAAAAATTAAACTATAGTGAAAGTTGCATGAAGAGAGCTGTCAAATCTCAATAACTTTTTGATTAAAATTTCTTCACTTAAAAAAACAAAAGGCCAAATTAATTTCAATTTGGTCTAAATGGCATTTTCAATTCCGAGTCAAACAGGTGACAGACAACCTGACAGACTGACAGGTCTACCACGAAATACGAATAAGATTTTTACTGAGGAAAGTGGAATTTACTTATTTACCCTTACCAAATTTTCCAAAAGGGGAAACGGCGTTAAGGCTGTCGACACGCTCAAACTAACTCCCCGCCGGCCCGCTGCATATATATATATATATATATATATATATATATATATATATATAGCTCGAATCGCGGACACAAATTTTCAACTTCCGAATCCGAAAGGTAAATGCGTCTATGCTTTCTGCTCTTCGTTATTACCGCCGCCATTTTATCTGCATTTTTTTTTCAGCTCTTGACTTCTTTCTGCAGATACGTGTATAAGATCATCAAGCAAAGTTCAGTGCGATTATTGTGCGTGATTCTTGACGTGCGTCCATAATTGATTTGAGTAGAAACGCATATCCTTTTGCAAGATCTCATCGTCTGAACAAACGTAGAGGTAATTTGATCCTTTCTCTCTTTGCTCTGTACCGTGGTCTATGCGAAGTCAATGGCAATTTGAAATTGTAGCGAAAATAAGCATTTTAGTTTTTTATTTTTATTTTTGTTGATCTATGAATGAGTATGATTCGAGTTATTGGTTTTGTAATTCGAAGAATCAAAATTTGAGTCCGCAGGATGGATTTGAACCCATCCTTGGTTACATTAAAGTAATAATTAAATACTATACAACAAAAAAACATATCTTTCTTTCAGAACATTTGTCCATCTTTCCTATTTTACTGTCATCACCAACACCAAATTAATTTAGAAATAACAAACTATGGTGGCCAAATTTGCTATTAATGACAACCAAGTAAATAGATTTAAAAGAATAGGATCACATGTGTCTATATATATATATATAATTTAAATTTATCGGGGCGGGGAGGGTGTACCCCGTCCCCATTTCCCAAATTTGTCTCCATTCTCAGCCCTATCGGGGAGGGGGGGAGGGTGTACCCGTCCCCATTTCTCAAATTTGTCTCCATTCTTAGTCCTTGTAGGGGAGGCGGGAGGGTGTACCCTGTCCCCATTTTTTTAATTTGTCTCGGTTTCCAACTTCCCGATCCTTGTTGGGGCAAGGAATTGGGTTCCCCATCGGGTTCGATAATAATGACTATCCCTACCCTGACTATAGCTGCTGTGCTTCACCTTAGTTGATTTCACTTTTATCACACAATCTAATCTGAATTTGTTATGTTACTTAGGGTTTCATTTCTATTACATATTTTGCTTCTTGAGCATCTAACAGCCATAACTCATGACCAAGTTACACAAGAAGTTTCATCTAAATTGTGGCTAAATGTCACAGTCTACTCCACTTATTGCTGTAATGTTTATACATAGATGTAGTAATATACAGAGTTGTGATATGTTGATGGCTATTCACCTATTCTACTTTGTAGTTGAGTGGGGTCAATTTACCATTTTACCCAGCCCAACTTCATAAAATCTCCCATGCATATGTAGTATGGAGTATTTGTAGACTGTAGTTATGATTAAAGTTGCAAAATGACACCACTGCAGAAATATTTGGAGTAGGGTCATAACCTATTTTCATCATATTATTTTAGATAAAGACTAAAGGTTTGACACCCAAATGCTCAAGATTTGAGGAAAACATAACGAGCTCATATGTCAGTATGTCCATATGAATGACATGTGTCAACCGTTTAACATTTAAAGATTGTCACGTGAAAAAGAAAAGTTTACGCACAGGCAAATCTGTTTGGTGTTACTATGTTTGTACAGAGGAAATCTTACATGTCTCAATAATAGGGGTTTTAGACAAACAAATAGATTGTTATGTGCACCACATAATGAAATTAACCTAATCAAAGTTTTCTGGAATTATTACTTTTAATGCTTACAGTTCTCTTTAATCCTTGAAGGTCATTATGGTGATGTTCTTGAAATTTCTGCACAAAAATTTTAATCATTTTCTTTCATTTATATTTCATAGGTGTAGTTACCTCTGTTTTGTTTTCAGATTGTGCATTTTTGTGGCTTTGTACAGTGTACTTGATGCAAGAATCTTCAAATATGAAGCCCTTTTCAATTGATGGTGAAGTGAAACCAGCTACACTTGAAAAAGTGAAAGAGGAAGGTTTACTGTTGCACTGTAACCTTTTTGATGTAGAAATGGTTTACAAGATAGCGGAAGAATTCCTTACGGGATTTGCCTCTGCCTGTGTTGACAACACAGCGGGTGGCCTGTGGAGCAGCCCTGCCGCTGTGGCTGTTGATATTCGACGAGAAATGGTGGAGTATCTTATCCGAAGAAGTGAAACTTTTGTGGCTGAGTCTATTGTCCTAGAATGTACTCCAGATATTGGAGTATCTGCTAACCCTTTTGATATTATCTCTGATTTGATTGATGATTTTGCCCATTCAAAAAGAAATTTTTTTAGCCATGTCTCGGTGTGGCTTTCGAGTGATAGGAGGGAAGATAGGATAGAGGATTTTGTAGAGGAACTGGAATTAAACGGGTTTTGGCTGATAAGCCGGAGAGAGGAAGTTGCTAAAACTTTGCTTAGAAACGTCGACTTCAAGACCTCATATCACTGCAATATGAAGTTCAAGACTGAAGACGAGCTTGAACAACACATTGCCTCGTGCAATTTCAGGACTGTGAACTGTGTGAATGAGGGTTGTGATGCTGTATATAGTGCAGGTAACTTAGAAGAGCACGACTCAACCTGTCCTTTCAAAACACTCCCGTGTGAGCAGAAATGTGCAGATATCATAATGAGGCGCGATATGGACAGGCATTGCATCACTGTTTGTCCAATGAAGCTTGTGAACTGCCCCTTTTATCCAGTTGGTTGTCTGTGTACAATCCCACAGTGCACAGTAGGCCAACACCGCTCAGAGAATCTCCAGTCGCACTTGATCTCCGTTTTGAAACTTATCCACAAGGAAGCATCTTTAGAAGCTTTGAAGGAAAGGGCAGAACTACTGGAAAAGGTGAGAGCTTTAGCAGAAAGTTCTCTTTTAAACTGTCATCTGCAATTTGGAGATGATTTCTTTTTGCTTGGTTCTGAACTTCTTGATTCAACCTATTGATGGGAAGTTCCATCTTAATAACACATGCCATTTTAACATTTAAAGATTTCTTCTTTATTCTTCCAAACAGGCATTGTCACCCCAACGATTATCTGCTGCTAAGGATGCAAGATCTTTAACATTTACTATTAAGGATCATAATACAAAGCTCGGGCCTTTAGTAGGAGTGAAGAAAAATGCAGAGTCAGACGCAGAGGATGAGAAGTTAACAAATGGTGAGGATAATAGCATGGCTCTATCGTCTATGGGGAAACAACTCTACAAAAACGAGGTACCTACAATTCTGCAAACTGAGAACAAGAAGATATCAGAGTCACCCTTTGAAGAAGATAACTCCAAAGAATCACCCAGATAAAAATAGATGAATGTTAAGCCATTTAGCGGGTTCTACTGTAAAGAATTTATAGGTTTGGAAGTCATATATTCCTTGAAACAAGGAACATAGTATATACACTAGACAAGCACATTGCGGAATTTCTCAATTCTGGCAAGAGAAGTCAGAACATGAGAGAAGCGCAATGTGGTTTGTCAAGAGAAATAATACCAAGAAAGATGAACATAGGAGAAGGTATTTACTTATTTTGTTACTTGAACTGGAAGAGAAAGATGGAAACTAGTTTCAGACCAATCATTATGCTGCAAAAGATTCATAGACTTACTCAAAATTTTCATATGTAGTCTCCCTTTTCAGATTGTGTTTGGACAGTGTTTCAGATACAACCTTTTCATTTTGCTTCTTAATCATCATAGATCCTGTGATTACTTGCTCTACAGATATTTTAGTTTTCTGTTGTTGAATGTATGGATAATTACATGAGATCATTTACTAGGTAGCATGTGCACAGATTCATCATGACAAAATTTTTGGTTTCCTTTTGGTCATAAGTGATATAATTCATACTGCACCGGTATCCACACTCCGCGAGGTGAGATTAATTCAATCAAGTTTTAGTTGGCCCCCATTTGGACAGTTCTCCTAAGGACTGTGAGACTAATTTAGTCGAGTTTCGGTCAGGTATTATTTGTGTAGTTTTTCCAAATTTTCATAGTGTACCGGTGGTATCCACATCCAGCGCAGTGAGACTAATTCAATCAAGTTTTAGTCCAACCTTATTTGTATAGTTTTCCTAAGAATAGTAAAACTAATTCAGTTGAGTTGCAATTGTAGCTGTTTGAGAAGTTCTCCCAAGGACGTTAGCAGTTATGCAATATGCTCGAGTAACTAAAATACATAGACAAGTCAAAGACCATAGACTCTTTGTGATTTAGTAGGTTGAGAAAGTATGTATGAACAAATACTACACTTCAAAAAAAAAAAAAAAAAAACATAGGCAATTTTTGAATCCAATGATTGTTTTCACAAGGGCAAATATTCATGTTTCTAAATCAGAGGGGTTAATCTAAACAATTCCTAAAATTACATTCTTAAAAAAAAAAAAAATCGAAAATTACAGGGAGTAATAGTATAAAGGGGTAAAAGGGCTGTGCAGAGTAGGGACTACAGAGCAAAAGTGAAATAAGAAGAAAAATTAAAAATAAAACAATAAATAGAACTGACAGTCAATCAGTGATTAAGAGTGACAGACTTCGCCGCCGATTCGATTTCCGGCCAAACTCCGATTCCGCAGGTATAACTCATTTTCCTCTCTCCTGTGTGTGTGCACGTAAAATCTGTACGTTTTTGGAGTTATATACATAGGATCTGAGATGGATGGTGGTCGGACATGAACTAATTTTTTCCCTCTTAAATGCTTATGCCGATACGTCAGATTATGCTGTGTATCTAGTTTCTTTCAATAATGATACGCTCATTTTGGAAAATTCTTTGCCATAAGTTCAGCATTGTATTGATTTATTCGTTTTTTTGCAGAACTGAATCTATAATAATGATGTTCTTTTATTTTTTTGTGTGTTAATTGTGAATGGATGATATTGATGGCTAGCATAATTCTGATCCGGGTTGATGTTCAGACTTCAGATTAGTGGTATATGCAATGAGGATTGTTTTGAGATTAAATATGATTAATGGCTGTTGAGAGTTAAAGTTTTGTCAGTTGCAAAATGTACTATATTGGAATGCTAAACACCATATGAAGTTCTTGCAAAATTTGAATATTAATTTATTTGGTTTTGCAATTTTCAGTTTTGGTGTTTCTGTGAATTCTATGTATGTTTTTGAAATATAAATCTATGGCATTGCCTGGTTTGGGAAAAGTCGAAAATATATAGGATCTTGGCATTTGATACTACAAGTTATATAGAACTGAATCAACTGATTGTTGGCTCAACCATTTGCATTTGATGGATTATCTCTTTCCATGCGAGGCAATAGATTTTTCCTTAAATTTGAAGTATTCAGTCAAAAGGTCAATGACAAAATCGACATGATTTCATGGGGTTCTTTCTAGTTTTGTCTAGTCCTACTGTAAATGTATGATGTGCAGCATTCTTAATCATCATTATATAGTCATTTTCTTGATTCTCAGCATATACTTGTGCCCCAAATTTCATTGCAGCCACATAGGTGTTTCTGGACGACTATGGAATCTAACAGAGGCCAGAGTGGAGGAATTCAGCTTCTTTCATCTGCAGAGCAAGAAGCTCAGCACGTTGTCAATGCAGCTAGGAGTGGTAAGTGGTCTAACTTTTATTTGATCTTAAATTCTGTTATGGATTTTATTCGGAATACAGTTTCACTTCTATTCCGACTCGAAGGATTGATCGTTTCTATGAATTGTATGGTTTAGAATTGCCAAGAATTTAAATCAACCTAAATCAATACTGTTTACTTCTCATATATCTTTATTTGACAAAGTCAAATAGTAATAATTTTGAGACTACCTTTTCTCTATCTCTTTTCCTAGTTAAACTAAATCACAAATATAGAAGAAAGGTATATTTTATTTTATGATTAAATTACTTGGTTTTGGAAGTCATGGAGTTGAGTATATCTCTTCTGAATGAGTATTCCAAACAGTATGGCATGCATATATATATATATATATATATATATATATATATATATATATATATATATATATATATATTATTAATTTTTTTTTTCTGAACATGTGCTTGCAGTGTGCTTGTTTCTGCGTTCCATTTTGCAATGCTACATTCTGCAGATTAGGATTAGGAAGGAATGACTAATCTCGCTCTTTTCTTTTTTTCTTTTTATTCATTTATTTCATTTCGTCGTGATAATGTTTTGGTGGTTGCAGCTAAACAGGCTAGGTTGAAACAAGCAAAGGAAGAAGCTGAGAAGGAGATAGCTGTGTTACGCGCTCACTTGGAAGCTGAATTTCAGAAAAAGCTCTCAAAGGTAACTAGAAAACAAAAAAGGGTTTTCAAAATCCATTTGTAAGACAAATATGAAAAATTTACATTTCTTGGTCAAACTTATCTCTTACACCAAAAAGCCTTCACAACTTAAATTCTGGGCATCCTTGAAACTGCCCAAATTCTGTAAATCCTATTACCCTCAAGCAACCAACACATGTTTGCCTTACTTCTTTCTCAACTTTATCCCAACCATTGCATGCATTTATGAATCACTGCCAATGTTCTTCAGCAATTAACCTCAGTCAATGTGTGTTGATGACCAGAGTACTGGCGACTCAGGCGCTAATGTCAAGCGTCTCGAGCACGAAACAGAGGCAAAGATCCAGCATCTAAAGGCAGACACTAAAAGAATCTCTCGTGATGTTGCCCAGATGCTGCTGAGGCATGCAACCACAGTGAAGAACTAAAATCTCTTATGTGTGAGCTGTGATGGGTCAAGCCAAGCATTCTCTTGCAGATGTTTGCTGTGGGCTTGTTTGAATGAAGGCAGTGTACTATTTGTACAAGATCCTTGCACTTCTAGGTGAAGTACCAACACTATTATTATTTGTTGATTGTATTATCTGCAAAAATAAGTAGCATTCAAATCTTCTTGTTTATGTGGCAGCCTTTAATTGTCCTTCAATTCATGGTATCACTGCAATAAAAATGTCTTCCCACTATTATTTTTAAAAAAGGGTTGTAGTACAGTGGGTAGTAGAAAGGGGTGATACCAGGTTACAAGTTTGATTCTTATCAACACTTTCTCGATTAAGCCCATTATATAGGATCTTCCTAGTGATGTTTTATTTTTTCCTATTTGGTTTGTGGTCTATCACGCAGGAGTAGAGTTTATCTAATGCACACTCGGATAGTAACTATAGAGTTCTCTAGTTACCAAAAAGAAAATGTTTTCCCACTATTGATATTCAACATGAACTACTTTTATTTCTTTTTTACTGGTCTAATATGGAGTATAACTTGTGATTAATTGAATAAAAAATCTCTCAATTTTTAATTTGTTTAACCAGTTTTTGCCCTCTCATTTTCTGCTACGGGCTTTACTTACAGAAATTAGAAATGTGAATAGGACAGTGAAGAAGGCAATGGATTTTTGCCCATTTTGAAGAATAAGCAACCAAGCAAGTCTATCCCAAGAACTCATTTTTGTAATTTGTCAAAAACATATATATATGAGTAAATTATGGTAAGGTTCTAATAGACATAGAAATTGTATTGGCATTAGTAGATGCATTGTTAATTAATACGGGTTCCGTTGTGTATACGGTTTCGTTAACGAGTCGACACGAGCACGATAAGACTAAACACGGACATGACACGTTAAGATTAATAGGTTCAAATTTTTAACACGAACACAATTTGTTAACGGGTTAAACGGGTTGACTAGACACGTTTTGTTAACAGGTTTCGGTCCATGTTGACACGAAACCCATTTAAACCTGTTAATATTTAAAAAAAATAATTAAAATTTAAAGTTAAGTTATATAAAAAAGAAATAAAATCACAATTCAAACTATCAAACAAACTAAAAAAAATATTCAATTTATAACATTCATAAAGTGATAAAATAACATTCAAAAAATAGAATTAAAGAAGTCAATACTACTTTTTAGAATAAAATTGAGTACAATAAAAATTCAAATTTCAGATTGTTGAACATCAATAATTGGTATTGGATCTTGGACTAATATAGTAAATTCATCCATAGTCATGTTCATGATATCTTTTATAATCTCATTCATGACAATGGTTCTTACCGGATTATAAACAGGTTCGTGTAAACGAGTTAACACGATAATATTAACAGGTTAAACGTGTTCTTAATAGGTTTAACGGGTTGACTCGTTAAGACACGAAACATAACGAGTTCTTGACGAGATCCGTTAATGACCCGGGACATATTAAAACTAAACACTAACACGTTATTTATGTGTTTGATTTCGTGTCGTGTCCATAATTGTCAGTTCTAATTATGAAGTTATTGAATTGATAGGTAGGTACGATTTAAAATATGTATACAACAGAAATGTTTGTTTTAAATGAATATTTTAATATATTATTGTTATATATTGCTTATTCTTGTTGAAGCTCTCCAACATGTTTGCATAAAAAGAGGAAAATAATATTTAAGATAGCAAGTTAGCAATCCTATCACCTAATTAAATTATGAATTCAGTGTATTGACAATTACAAGTGACAACTCAAGGCTATCATCATTATATTACTTGACTAAACATCATATATTGACAATAAACCAATAATTCTCCTCAAACTTTTATATATATATATATATATATATATATATATATATATATATATATATATATATATATATATATATAATATAATATAATTCGGCTCCCTTCAGAATTAACTTTTCCTCAAGAACTTTTGAACTAATCTCATCAGTACATTTAAAATGATCAAAAATTAAAAACAAGGAAAAAAAATGAGAAAACACAATGGAAAAAAAAAAAGAGATAAAACAATGGTATTTTCATAATTATTACAGTGCATTTGAAAACATTTATAGTGATTTTAGCAGTTCATCAGGGTTCATCAATGATTGAGAATTTTAGTAAAAATAAAATGTGGTCAATTTTATAATCATTACAAACATTCAAGTTTACAATATTTATAAAAAAGAACCCACCTTTTTCTATTGTTATCTAGCAACCTTCAACAATTGATCTATTCATAAAGATTAATTGATCAACCATTACTTTTTACATGAGAGCATGCTCATATATATATATATATATATATATATATATATATATAATGGATCATAAACATATTTTTTTTTTAAATATGCATGGTAGTATTTTTGTAAATAATTTAAACTTTGAAATGTAAGTAAATTGTGTTAAAAGTGCAAGTAACAATTTCATAAAATACACCAAAGTGTAAATAAAATGTATTAAAAGTACAATAATATAATATACACCGAATAACAATATTAAGTGCACATATCTGTCGTGGGAAATATATTTGGTTACATATCAAATCTATTAAATTATATATGAGAAATTTTTTGGTATCATCATATCAAATCTATTAAATTTTTTAATATATTATTTTTAAATACTATCAACTTTATTACAATGTAGTATAGATTATATTTATGCGGCTATTTGTCAAAGTGGAATGAACATATATTAATCTAATGCCTAATGGTTAAGATTGATTTGTTATTGGATTCCGATTCACATGGTAATAGTTTAGTTTAGATCGAATCACAATCTAAAATGAAAGAAACAGACAAAAAAAAAAAAAAAAAAAAAATCCTTTTTAACAATTTTTTAGCCACGCGGGACCCGCCGAAGCCACATCATCAACAGTTGAACAGAGTCCACCGTAGGAAGCTGTGTTGTGGGTCCCACTTCTCCCACAATTATTTGTGTCTTTCCCTCGCCGACGATTGCGTCCCGGCCGTTTCAACCCTACAAGTGTTTTTTTTTTTTTTTTTTTTTTTTTTTTTTTTTTTTTTTTTTAGTTTGTTTGATAAGACATGTTTCTTAATTTCGCCAGAACATATCCCTTCCAAATAATTTCATGTTTTTTCCGCTACGTGTACATATATATATATATATATATATATATATATATATATATATATATATATATATATATATATATATATATATATATATATATATATATATATATAAATAAGGAAGGGATCAGGTGTGGCTTTCCATGCGGTTGTGCAGTTGATTAATGTGTGTGTTTTATACTTAATGTACGTGAGTCTGGTGCTTAATGTGCCTGTGATTTGTACTTAATGTGCGTGAGTGTGTAATGTTAATGTGCGTGAGTTTTGTACTTAATGTGCATGAGTATTGTGTTTAATATGCGATAAGTTTGTGCTTAATGTGCGTGACTTTTAACACAATCGCATAGGAAGCTATAAACAAAATACATTCAGACCACAACCTCACACACATTAAACACAAAAGTCATACGAAGACGAAGACATATATGATGAAGAACAGAGAGAGGGGAAGAGAGGATTAAGGGAATAGGAAGATAAGGCGAAGACGTATATGAAGAAGAACAGATAGAGAGGAAGAGAAGATTAAGGGAAAAGAGAGGAAGAGAAGACGAAGACGTATATGTACTGGAGCAACAGAAGCACATTAACATTACACACTCACGCACATTAAGTACAAATCTCAAGCACATTAAACACAAGACTCAAGCACATTAAATACAAAACTCGCGCACATTAACATTACACACTCACGCACATTAAGTACAAAGCTCAGACACATTAATCAACCGCATAACTGCACGGGAAGCACCCAACCGCACTGGAACCTTTCACTATATATATATATATATATATATATATATATATATATATATATATATAATAGTTAGCATACGAGATGATAAATTACTAAAGCCAACGTGATTTCTTGCTACTTATTAATTAATTTGTAGCAATAAATTTAATGATGATGTGTGAATTTACTATTAGCTAAGATAATTTTCAATACATTTTGTAAGTTTAACTTCCAAATTTAAGGGCCCTCACCCCTCTTAAGTCTTACCTAGTGCATAAAATAAGACAGCAAAATTCATACCTTAATTTTGAGTTTCGCATTTTGTAGCTATTAGTAAAGCAAGTTTATAGATTTATTTTGAGTTAAATAACACTATTTTGACACAGTACCTATAACACGACGACCCGATTCATACTTCCATTTTAGTCTCTTTATCATGTAGCTGCTAACCAAACAGGGGTGTTTGGTTATTGGCTGATAAGTTAAATTTTAGTTGATTTGACTAAATTTATCTGTTTGACTTATCAATAAGCTGTTTTGAAGTGTTTGGTAAATAGTCTATTAGTCTTGGCTGATTGGGCCAATAAGCTAAAAATGAAAAAGCTAATGGAGGTAGCGTTTTTGATCAACTGATCTGAAATTAATGGTATATTAACTATTTTATCCTTTGGAATTAATAGGGATATGCTTTTAAATGGGTGGTGAATTTGTCATAATAATAATAATAATAATAATAATTATTATTATTATTATTATTATTATTATTATTATTATTATTATTATTATTATATTTTATTATTATAGTAAATCATTTTAAAGTATTAAAATTGAAAATAATTAATAAAAATTGTTTTAGAATATAATTTAATAAGAGTTTTAAATAAACAAAAATAATTAACTTATTTTTTTAAAAAGTATATATGATACCCAAATTTTATAATTATTTATTAATAAGAGTTTATCATCTTGTTATTATTAAAAGTTAAAATAATACAATATACTCATACCATTAAATGTCATTTTACATTCAATCAGCTATTAGTAAATAGCTAATTTATCAAACAGTTTTTTATAACGAGCTAATACAACCAACTGGTCAAACTAGCTAACGCAATCAGCCATCAACTACTAGATAAACCAATCAGCTATCAGCTATCAGCCTTTTACCAACACTCCAAACGTTATGGATATATTTTAGGTTACTTAACACCGTTCTTGCCCAATGCCTATAACAAGTAAGGCGGCCATTGGCCAAATTCAATTCATATCTCCATTTCGATACCTTTTATGTGGTGAATAGACATAGAACGAATGCTTGTTAGATGATTAAAATTAGATAGACATATATAGGGTACTTACTTTGAATTGGCAAGAAGTTGATGACTTGAACAATCTGCCTCTTCTTTTCCCAAATGATACTTGGAAAAAAAGTAAAAAACAAAATAACTCCCAAAAGAATATCTTTTTTGCTTTTCTTAAAAGGGAAAAGCATTTATGGCCCTGTTTGTGTGAAGTAAAACAACAAGAAATCCACCTAATCATACACCCAAAACCTGGGGAACTAACAGTATGAATCTGCAGAATATTATTCCCTGTTTATCAAATACCAAAAACATTAACTAGTGTTTATGGGATCAAATAATGTGTTTCTGAACTAAAAATTTTATGAAGTAAAAATAAAAAATCTTGAAAATTTCCAGTTCCCTAATCCTGTGGGGCTGGGTGTCCTACGCAGACATCTGCAGATGGCGATAGAATAAGAGAAGCGAAAGAGAGAGGCACATGAAAGCTTACCTATATATAGGTCCATAATCCGGTGAGAATAAATTTTAATCTCCAAATTACAAATTTGTAAAGAATTTTTAAACTGTGAATTGTATACTTGTAAATAATTGCACCAGGATACGATTAGTAGTTGCAGTCCATAATTAGGTGAAAACAGTCTTAAATTGCAAATTACGAACTTGTAAATGATTATACCGCAGATAATAGTTGCTGTGCAATTCTTCACAAGTTTTCAATTTACGGGTTTTATATATATATATATATATATATATATATATATATATATATATATATATATATATAATTAAGTTCCAGTGCGGGTAAGTGTCTTTCGTGCGGTTATGCGGTTGATTAATGTGCGCAAATTTTGTATTTAATGTGCGTGAGTTTTGTACTTACGGTGCGTGAGTTTTGTGCTTAATGTGGGTGAGTTTTGTGCTTGCGTGAATTTTGTACTTAATGTGCGTGAGTTGTTATTAAAACGGTAGGTGTGTTTTTGTGTTTAAAGTCCGTGAATTTTGTGGTTAAGGTGCGTGAGGGTTGTCGATGCGTGACTTTTGTTCTTAGGTACGTGAGTTTGGGTTCCGAATGTATTTTGTTTATGTGTTTAATGTGCGTGTGTTGTGTACTTAAAATGGGCTGTAATATTTAATGTGAGTCCACCTACACATCCTCACCTTTCGCTTCCCTATATATATATATATATATATATATATATATATATATATATATATATATATATATTAGGAGAAATTACATGCATAATTAATAGAAATGGCGTCTTCATAACAGACATGCTCTGCAACTGCTCTGCCATTTGCTGTTACCACCCTTTGTCATTTTCTTCTTCTTCCTTTCTTGCTTCCATCGCTTATTATCCTTCCTTCCTCCCTCCCTTGACGTCTTCTATTTCTTTTTCTCTCTCTACTCTCTGTATATATACCGAACATCTTGTGTGCACTGTGGACATGGAGAAATGGGTGTTTGTTTGATTTCTATCTCTAAAAACACTACTGTAGACTGTTTGAGTTTATGAGGTGAGGTGAGGTTTGTTAGAAGTTTTTTGAATTCTGGCGATAAAATGGCGGGGACTCATCGGAATGTTGTTCAAGGTTTGATTACGGAGGAGGAGCCTAGTATAGATACGGATAAGCTGAGTTACGAGATCTTTTCTATACTGGAGAGTAAGTTTTTGTTCGGTTACGATGATCAGAAGCTTTGGATTCCGAAAACCATCGCGCCGGCGGTGGAGGGAGACGAAAACGAGGTTGCTTCGGGGCTGCCGGAGGTTGACGGGAACGATGACGTGCAAGCAATCAAAAGCCAGAGAGGGAAGATTTGTATATTGACGATTGACGGCGGCGGAATGCGGGGGATTCTGTCGGGGAAAGCGCTGGCGTATTTGGAACAGGCGTTGAAGGTGAAATCGGGGAATCCGGAGGCTCGAATCGCGGATTATTTTGACGTGGCTGCCGGCTCCGGCGTCGGAGGGATTTTCACGGCGATGTTGTTTGGGACGAAGGATAGGAGCCGTCCTATTTTCAATGCCGACGACACGTGGAGGTTTTTGGCTGAGAATGGGAAGAAGCTGTATTCTACTTCTCCGAAAGGTTCCGGAAGCGGCGGTTTTTTCAGGCGAGTTTTCCGCGGTAGCGACGGAACCGTTTCCGCCGCCGCGCGGTTGGAGAAGGCGATGAAAGAGGCGTTTACGGACGAGAAGACCGGCCGGAGCTTGACATTGAAGGACACGTTGAAGCCGGTTTTGATCCCCTGCTACGACCTCTCCAGTACGGCGCCGTTTCTGTTCTCCCGAGCCGACGCGCTGGAGACGGAGAGCTACGACTTCCGGCTCTGGGAGGTGTGCCGAGCCACGTCAGCGGAGCCGGGAGTGTTCGAGCCGGTTTGCATGACGTCAGTGGACGGGTCGACCCGGTGCGTGGCGGTGGACGGAGGATTAGCCATGAGCAACCCGACGGCGGCGGCGATCACGCACGTGCTCCACAACAAGCAGGAGTTCCCTTTCGTGAGAGGCGTCGAGGACATTTTGGTACTTTCCCTCGGCACGGCCCAGCTTTTAGAAGGCAGCTTTGAATATGAACAAGTCAAGGGCTGGAAGGCCAAGCAATGGGCTATACCTATGGCTCGCATCTCCGGCGACGGCTCCGCCGACTTAGTCGACCACGTCGTCGCCATGGCTTTCGGCCACTCTCGGACCACCAATTACGTCCGAGTTCAGGTATTCACGCCGCCCCGATTCTCACCTTTGATTTTTCATTAAATCATATTTTTCAATTTCATATCAGAACTAACTTTTAATTAAGACAGAACACATCATTCAATAACGATAGTCTATTGGAATAGCCAAAAATTTCTTTGAGAAGAGTTGAATTGGTATTAATTTGTTTAAAGTTTTGATAGAATCTAAGATTGGACCGAGTTGGAGTTGAATTGAATCCATCCTGTTTTCTGTTGTCAATTGTATGAGTTCTGACATTTCCAAGTTGGGAATGAAAGGGCTTTCTTGTTTTTGTGACGTCTCAATAGCATTGAACAACACGGTTTTTATCTAATACACACCGAGCATAATTATGTTAATGCCTAGAGAATATCTGAACGGGCTGTGGTTTTCTATAATGAGCTGGAATTGAATGAACCATATGCATGCTGTTTTACTATTTTGGTTTGGCATTTAACCTAAACCGATATTCCCTACAAAAGACTCTGTTGCTTATTCCCGTATATGGTTGCAGTTTTTTCTTTGATTGGAAAGATGTACTTGGCTACTTGCGCTACTAATCTACTATATATCTACGCCCTTGTATTCAAAGAAACACGGAGAATTTTAAGGAGATAAGGGAAATGAGCTATTTGAGGCTGTTTATTGTGTCTGATACAGAATGTTGATGGCGATAAACTAGTTTGAATAATGGATCTTTAGTGAGAAGAAAAGTGTTTGGTTGCAAAGAAGATTGAAGGGGTAAATCCCAGTTGGTATTATGATGCATTGATGCTGAAAGTTGTTGACATGGTTCCTACATGTTTGTTCTGTTTTTCCATTTGCTATTTCTGGTAGATAGGTGAATGATGAAAACTGGGTTTCAGAGCAGATAGTCAACTTTATTTCCATTTTTGACACTTGAGTGATCAATGCATGCTCTAACCCACAATTTCCTACAAAAATCTGCTAATGACAGGCCAATGGATTTAACTCTAGTAGTTGCGGAGTGAGCCTAGACACCGACCCGAGTCCCAACAATGTGGAAAGGCTCGTTGGGATAGCGGATGAAATGCTGAAGCAGAAAAACGTGGAGTCTGTGCTCTTCGGTGGCAAGAGGATTGGCGAGCAGAGCAATTTCGAGAAACTGGAGTGGTTTGCTGGAGAACTGGTGCAAGAACATCAGAGGAGGAGTTGCAGAATCGCCCCCACCGTTGCATTCAAGCAGGCTACACCAACAACTCCCAAATAGTGTTCAGAATAACAAGAAAAGAAGAAAAAAAATATATACGGTAAGCTTTGTTTCTCTCTGATTATCTTTTTTTTTTTTTTTTTTTTTTTTCGTTCTTCTCTTGTCTGGTTTGATAATGTCAATATCAGCTGGGTACTCACCACGCTAATGATCAGAGCATAATGATATACATCCAAACATATTCCCTTTGTAATATGCTGTTAGGTCATTTGCAAAATTATGGTAAGACTTTTCATGCCTGTTTGTTCCTGTGCACCATGGGTTCTTTCTTGTCATTTTCTTTGTCCCCAAACACCTAATGCCCATGGTGGTTGCAACAGTGCAGTATTAAACTCAGTCCAAACAGGTAATGCCATAATCTTCTACCGACAATTATGTCTTTGGTTTGGTCAAATGAAGGGCGTTTTCGTCATTTCATCATATAATTGTAGGGGACCTTCTGGTAATTTGTGAGTCAGGGCCAGGGATTGGAATATTTTATGCCCGTGGGTTCATGACAACTGGTTTAAGATCTGAGGTCTAAATATTATTGTCTACTGTTCTGGAATCCAAGGTTGAACTATTGAATCCTTGCAGGATCATAGCAACCTGTTTGCTTTCCTACCAATTAAATTAGCGGGAAAGTAATTGTCGGAAATAACTTTGTTAGAACAGAAAAGGTTGTTGAGTATAATATATAAACATAAATGTGCAATCCAACTATCAGTTTAGGCTTTTAATTGAGATGGAGTATATGCTTATTCTGGGATAATCTGTAGAGAAAAGAAGGCTCCTTTTTGTATTTGGTGATGCATCATGTTGTTGTTGACTGTTAGGCAGAGTTCCTTTTTCCATTAGGTTGTGTCCATCAACAGTTGTTTGTAGATCAAGGTCTCAAGTTGTAGGTTCTTTTTGTGGCTATTTTTATTTGCTTATCTTATACGGAGTAGTATTTTCTACATGGCCAAAACCCTGTCATCTAGCTAGCCACCTAAACCTATTAGGTCTGCAGTCTTAGTTCCACCAGGTGTATAAAAAAATTGACCGAGTGGGTGAAACATGATTCTTATACTTGAAAGGTGACGAGTCCGTGATATATTCATGATGTGAAAATTAGTAAATTACTAGGGTTGTACTTTGTAGTGGATAGACCAAGATGGTATTAAAGTTGAAAGGGGAAAGAATGGTTAAAAAGGAAGGGTGGTTGTACTGTATAATGGAGCTACTTTATGTGAAAAGTGGTGGGATTAATGGGCCACAGGTGTTTTGGTATTATCAGTACAAACAAGTAATAATTTGGAGAGTGACTGAAAAGCCTAATTGATTAAAAAGCACACCCACGTTGTCTTCTGAATAAGCTTGTCCTGCATCTGCCATCTTGTGATTTAGTTGCTCTCAAATTTTTTTGATAACTCAAATTTTCCTCACTTCATCAAATTATGAGGTGTTAGCTGATTGAGTTATTTGGTTTGACTAGCTGATATCATTAGCTGATTGTAGAAAGATATTTGTTAGATTAGTGGTTAGCTGATAGCTTATTACATGCAAAATGATTTTTTCAAAAAGCTAATCAAAAAAGCTGTTTTGAACAACTTTTTAAAATTTTAGCATTTTGAAATAATAAATTATTACAAAAAAGCTAATTAATCAAACACTCATATTCGCTATTTAACTAAGTCAAACAGCTAATAGTGGTCAAACAAATCAAAATTAACTAATAGGTTAACTATGTTACCAAACAGGCCTATATTTTATGCATAAATACTAATTGTTTACTGTTTTCTTTTTAAAAAATGTATTTTTTGATTTTTTTTTCTAAATTAGGGAAGTGGTTTTGAAATATTTTATACAATATTCATAAGTTTCTTCTTGGGAAATGTTTCTGAAATGCGAAAACATTCACCCTTAAAAAGTTCTTGTGTATAATATTAGACTATCATCTAAATATCTGCACGTGTTACCTACCTCAATATTCTCTGATATTGAAAAAAAAAAAACATAAAATTACTCAGCAGTTGTTATGCATGCACTTACCACCTGCAAGCAACAGCAAACCTTCCCCCACCATAAATCAACAACTTGCAAAGCTAATGGTTTGTAACTTTAAAAAATTGTGGGTGCAGGCCAGGTGAAGAAGGTGAAAAATGAGTGAAGCTGATGGGAGCTAGAAAAGAAAAGGGTAAAAACCAAAAGTGAAGAATGGTAAAAATAGCAGGTTAAGGGTTTAGATTTGAAAGTGAGCGGGAACGCGGTGATGGTGGTGGTGGGGACTGAATGATCTTTGGTGGGATTCTTTGCCGGCATTGTGGTGGCCATTGCTAAAGCGAAGCAAATGGAAGTAGTACGTACGTGCAGTGCTCCCATTTCAAACACTATATTAGAGATGCATTCAATTATATTTTATATTTTCTTAGTATTTTTGTTTGTCTTCAATTCATCCCAATCTCTTTTCTCCGGCCTTAGCTTTCGTGGCCACATCTATTCTTGTCTCTTATACCAGTTCTCAGTCCAATAATAAAAGAAAAAGATCAGAGTGGAACCCAAAGGTAGGTTCTTACGCGTTACTCGTCCGCTACTGGAAACATCACTTTCTGATGGATTACATTAAGCTTGATATGATGAAACCCAATCCCTGTCTGTCTTCTTTGTGTAATCATTGTTTTTTTCTTCTTCTTTTCCTTTATTAGCATGGGATAGAGAATGGATTGTATAAATCAGAACCTCAATTCTCAAGTACGTGGTTACTTTATTTGTGTTATTATTTTACTAGTAGTGTATTTTTGCCTATATTTGGGATATAAATAAAAGGCAAATTGTCATTTGATTGACTGTTTGAGTTTTGAGGGGGCACCTGGTTACACCACTTTTTAGGAGGAAAGCAAAGTAAAAAGTGATTAAAACATTTGTTTATATATTCACTTTCTAATATCTTGAAATTGGAATTAAGTAATTAATTTTTGAGTAAATACCCAAAATAGTTCCTTGACTATAGTTAAATTTACAAATTGGTTCCCGATTTTCAATTTCAACCAATTAAGTCCTTAACTTTGTAATTTTAACACAATTTTAAGCAACTTTTTCAATTAACTTTCTGAGCAAATAAATTATACCAAACATCGATCAGTTAATTTACCAAACACTTTTCTACAATCAGCTAATGTTATCAATTAGTTATACCATCTAATTAACCCAATTAGCTATTTACCGAACAGGACCAAAGTCTTTGACCGTTTTGACAAGATTAGTTTTATTATAATTTATTTTGATTCTTATGTTTGAACTTGACCCCAAAGTCTTTGACTGTTTTGACAAAATTAGTTTTATTATAATTTATTTTAATTTGATTCTTATGTTTGAATCAAATGCCCTTTTTGGTTGTCGGGCCAGTTTAATTAAAGAGCAAAGTACTGATCAGATTAATTTTTCTATACAACAGGGAGTTCGAATTTCCATCTCTTAAAAGATGAAAGTGCACAACCATACCACTCACACCAACCAAGATGATTAATGAAATGCCCTTTAATTGAATTGAAGGTATACTATTTAGGTGACAAAATATTTAATCATATAGTAGTAATTTAGGTTAATTTCAGCAGCAGCTGTTGGTGCGGTACTCCTCGACGCCAATGGCCGCTATATATATGCTTTCAGCGCCCCATTAGTAGGTTGCCACTCCCCGCTCATGGCCGAGGCTTTTGCTTGCAAGGAAGTATTATCATGGCTTAAAAGGAGGAATGAGCTATCTATACAAATTCATACGAATTGTCAACTACTACAGTGCTATTTATCTGGATCACCAACCACATCACGTTCATATCTAGGTTATGCTATCGATAGTTGCAGAACCTATATTTCTACTTTTTCTTACTGCTCAGTTATTTACATTCTTAGATTACAAAATTTATTAGCTCATACTTTAGCTACTACAGCATTTAATTTCGCTACTGCTATGTACTGGGACAATGTCCCACCAGACTCTATTTTAACTCTTCTATAAATACAACCGCCACGTTGACTTTCAAAAAGGTTAATTTCAGGTGGTTTTGTTATTTTTAATCCCACACTATAAAAATTGGCGTTTCTTTGTATTTTCTAGACATTCTCCCTCCTCACGTTCACTTCTAACAACATATTTCACAACTTTTAAAATATGAAAATATATTTATATTAGTTTAAATCTATATTTATTTTCAATATAGAACAAAGATTTTTTAAAGCCTCCCCAACCCCAATTTCCCAATTGTATATTTTGAGAATCGATTAATTCATCATTCAAACATCATCCATTTTAAGTGTATAAAAATATGCAATCCATCCACTCAAATACAAGAATCCAAATTTACCTTGACTTTACTTAAATCAATAATAAACCTCACTCAAAACAATGTCTTAAAATGACTACGTGCATGTCACTTTTCATGCTAATTTTTCAACAATAAGTATAGACATAATAGTTTAGGATTATAACATAAATTCAGTGGCATAGTATGCAATGTTATGTGCAAAGTTAGTAATATCCGAATAATTGTGACGTTATTATTTTATTTCGTTTTATTATATGACTACGAAAACTCGCAATTACTATTCGATGATATATATGTAAGGAGTAAATTCTGCTCTTATGTAATAGCTCACAAACTATACAAGAGAGCTAAATCACAGTACAAAGACTCTATGCGACGAGCTCATCAACTGTGAGAATATTAGCAACAATTAAACTCGTGATCTTTTAATACGCGCGAGAATCATACTTCACTCACTCGCCCAGTGGTTATCCTTTTGGCTAAATAAAAATTAAAAAGGGAAACCCGCATGGGTAGCTCAACTGGTCATAGAGGTGAAACTTTGAAAGAATGACCAGGGATCAAGTCTCACCAGCGGTGGTGTGGGAGCAACCTCTCAAAGTGAGGGGGGCTCCTTGTGCGCAGTGAGCACCGGTCTAGCCTCTATGGTTCATGTTCAGTTGAGTCACCATGATTTACATGGGTTGGGGTTTAGCCTTTGGAAAAATTCTAGCCTCTATGGTTCGTGTTCAGTTGAGTCATCATGATTTACATGGGTTGGGGTTTAGGCTTTAGAAAAATTAAAAAGGGAAAAAGGATAGAGACAGGCGACCAGGCAAAATTAATTGAATATTTTATTTGCTGAGACATATAGAGATAGGTTTGAAAAGATAGCTCAATAACATTGACATTTGCTTGCCAATGAAAATAATATTCATTTTTCCTATTTCCTTCAATTCTATTAGAAATTGAAATATGGGTGGAGTGTTGTTTCATTCTTTTGCAATTTTAGCACATTTCTTTGAATTTTGCTTTCCTCTTCTGCTTGCAAGTCTTATCACAAAAATCCCAAATCTTCCATTCATCTTTCATATATCTTCCCCTCCAAAAATGTCCTAATCCCTATTCCCTACAATATAATGTTCCTCCATGAATGCATGATAACTTAAACATGCAGCCAAGAGGTTGGCTGAAAATGAAGTCATTAATTTGTGTGCGGAAATTGAGAATTCGTTTTGATGAAAATAATTAAATCCAGGTTCAAATTAATTAATCTAAGATGAAAAATGAACAAAATCATTTAAAGAACAAGAGAATATAACGCTGGTTTTCTTTTGATTAGTTGTTGTGTAAGTATAATGACAATTAATTTTTCTAAGGGAGGAACACGCAATGTTGTCTTTCTAGATTTTTTTTAAATTTTTTTTTTAAAAAAAGATTGCGTATAAAGCATTTACTCTCTTTATTATAATATAATGTGAGCATTAGACTGGTGTTCAGTGCGCATAAGGAGCCCCCCTCACTTTGAGTCGATCCCTGATCATTCTTCCAAAGGTTCACCTCTATGACCAGTTGAGCTACCCATGCAGGCCCAATCATTTTATTCATTCCTACAAAATGATGCAATTTAAATCTCCACTTTATTTTTTTTTCCATAGAATTACAATTATTTCTCCCTGATTTCTTCCTTCCAACCAAATCTATGGTAAAAGATAAATGTAAATACTCGTTAAAAGAAAAAAAAAATGAGCTCAACAAACATTTTTTTGGTCAGGCCATGAGGTGTTTTGAACAGACCCTAACTGTAGGAGGCAACTTTATTAGCTTAATAAATTTGAAAAAACATAATATTGAGTAATTATTATTTTCGACGTGATGCATCATTCCTTGAATGGGGCGCCTAATAATGAATTTAAAAAAGAGTAATATTATATGTACTCTCACTTTTTACTCTATTTTTACTTCGTGCAGAGGTGTCATTCTTTGATTGATCTAAATAACAAAGTGAGTCAGTGTTTAAATTTATTCACTTTTACTTACCCAATAAAATTTATACACGTGACAGGATTAGAATTATACTCAATAGAAGTACATGAAATGTATCATTTTCCTTTAAAAAAGGGTCAATAGAAGAAAACAAAGAGAGAGATGATGAATCAATTAACTTCAATTCAATTATTTAAAAAAAAAAAAAAAAAGAACTTCAATTCATAGGTTTTTCTTTATTCTTATTTGTGTGACTTTGTGGATAGTTTGGTCGCCATTCAACGTCTCGCTGATTATATTCCAATTCCCTTCCTCTTTTATACATATCACATCATTTAGATAATATTGATTGGAATTTAGAGCAACAAGATATGAAGAGGAAATGAACAACCTAACTTCATTGGACAACAAAAATCCATTTGCTTCACCCATCTTCCATTCTTAAACATGTCACATCATTTAGATTAAATTAGGGCAATTACAATAAGAAAAAGAAAAAAAAAATTGCTCGTAAGAGCTCTCGACGAGTTAATTGAAGTAAGGAACATGGGTCTCGAGTCCAACTTGAGATATTACATCTGTTAAGACAACGAGCAAGTACATCGAGTTAACCAAGACAATTGAGCAGGATTTGGGAGATTCAGTGCCAACCACTCAAGCGATGCAAGCTAAGGTAAGCAAAGAGAACGGATGTATCTATTGGTAACTTGTGGACACACTTTTAATTTTGTATTGGTATATAATCAATGGAAATGATAATTTGTACTACATTGTGCTTACTTTTTTATATACTTGTAAATTCTTTTCGATTTTATCCTTATTTTTCTTTTCCTACAAATGGTTAACACCTTTAATCAACCCCCAACTGAGTTGGTTGAACAGCTAACTTAAAAACTATGTTCTAAATTCGATTCTACATATAATAATTTGTACATTTATTTATTTTGAAATACTCATGATTCTTTAAAAAGTAGTATATGTTCTATACTTTCTGAAACAATTTCAGCCCAAAGAATCTTAGTCCCAACCACCGAGGTTCAAACTTATGACCATCCATTTAGAATGGTAACCGGAATGCCATCACACTACATGGTAGTTGGCTATAATCGCACAATATGTGATGCTTGACTATTGTTACTACTAATAATAATACTAAAAGACCAAGACTATGTGGTCTAATGGTATCCGGATTGGACTTTCATTTGGAAGGTTGTAAGTTCGATCCTCAATACTACATTCTAATAGAGCTAGTAGCATTCAAAAAAATAATAATAATAATACTAAAAGAATTCGTTAGCAATTCAATATGTTGAACTCTAAACCTTATTACAGAACCTATCGTCAGGCGATAAAGAAAATTCTTCACAATCTACCAGATGAGATTGTGAAGGAATTTCCATCAATTTTTTTTTTTTTTTTGAAAGCTACTGGCTCTATTACATTGTAGTATCTGTTCATATACTTTTTCAATCAAGTGAAACACAAAGAACCAATAACGCCTCCACTAAGGCTCGAACTCATAATCTTCCAAATAGAAGTCCAACGCAGGTACCATTAGACCACATAGTCCTGGTAATTTCCATCAAATTTTAAGAGAAGCAAAAATATAAATTAATTTTTTTTTTTAAAGAAAAGAAAAGAAAAAGAAGGGTCATGGTTTCCAACAAAATTAAAGTATCTTTAGTGCTAAACCACCCATTAGGTGCATTAATTAATTGAGGGATTGATTGGGAGGTGGGATGGATTGATTGTGATGGACTATGAAGAATGCAACTTTTCAAAGGCTGCTAAATTAAATTAAATTATTAGTTTTAATTAGCTGATGGGGGTGGTGGGGTACGATATTCTTAGCGTTGATTAATCAATCAACGTACAATGAAGCGAAGCGTCACAAATTTGAAAAAGGAGATTAAGATTTAATTACGTACAGCGTTAACGTCGCCTCCATTCATGTTCCTTCTACATCATGCATCTCAACCAACCCACTAACATATTCCTCTTCACATTATTTTAAAATTCAGATAAATTACACTAAAAAGAGTCTATGCGACGGATTCAATCCAGATAATTTTATTTAAAAAGAATCAAATGTGTAACTATTTAGGTATAAGAATGACGTTCCACTCAACTCAAACACCCTAAAATTAAAAAAAAAAAAACTATTTTTAAAATTAAAATCATTATAAAATATTCATTAGTTGTCGTGATATAATAATAATAATAAGGGAAAAAGTACGATTATGACTTTAAATTTTGACTTCAAAAGGTCAAATTTTTACATGTCGTTCAAGTAAGATAATAAGAAAAAATATATAAATTCACATGACATTCCAATCAGCACAAACCTATTCTTAACCTCTTAAAAATACTAATTGCTTTTTTTTTTTTTTTTTTTTTTTTTTTTTTTAAATGTATGGATGAATTTGGAGCTGATTTGAATTCGATGATTTAATTGATATCCCTAAATAGTTTAATGATCTATTTGTACATTTTCCCTAACAATAATAATAATTCTTTACAAACTCTTTTCAAGGAAAGGCCGGTGCACCCATATAAGAGTCACTCTTTTTAACTTTTCAATTGTATTCATGGTTGGCTTACTGACTACTGCAACTGTTGAATTAGTTTAAATGTTTAATTATCAACTGGTTTTATTTTATTTATTTATTATTATTTTTTTTGTGACAAGGAAACTTGCAACGAGTATCTAATGGCGTAGACTAGGTAAATCTCACTTTTATATACTCCCTCTGTCCCATTTTGCATGTCTTACTTTCCTTTTTAGTTTGTCCCAAAATGTTGTCCTCTTTCCAAAATTGAACATCACCATCATTATATTTTTTCCCAAATTACCCTTATGACTTTTGCTTTTATTCCCAAAAGTGAAAAAGTGAAGGGCATAATTGAAAAATACATAACATTTACTTTAATTCCTTAAAAAGCGTGCAAAAAACAATTGAGACAACCAATTCGGGACGGAGGGAGTAATAATAATAATAATAATAATAATAACCAGCACCTTTCAAAAAAATAACGAACAAACTACGCAAAGAAGTAAATCACACTAGAAAGACCATACACTACTAGAAATTATGGAATTTCCGATCACCTGAAAGTGATCTTAAATCAAGTCGAAAGTCTTGTTCCGACCACTTTTAGTATCCGGAAAAACCTTTATTGCTGTTTCCGATCACTTTTTGGTATCAACTTAATTTAAGTTCATTTTCAGGTGGTCGGAAATTTCATAATTTCCAGTAGTGATATTCAATGAGTTTGGTCGAGAGGATATTGATAAAAATCAAACTCGTGATATATGTGAGCAATTATGTGTGGATATATTACTTTAAAAATCTTCGTATAAAAATATTTCAGTCTAAATTATTTAAAGTAACTAAGATCTCCACACAAAATTGCTCTTTGTGAGTATTTATTTTTCCAAAAACAAAAAATACTCAAAGGCCCAAATAGAGACTCAAGCCCAGCCCACACCTAACACATCTATATAAAGTTTTTTTTTTTTTTTTTTTTTTTTTTTGAAACTAACAAACAAACACTTATATTTCATTATCAGCATGCAAAACATCCAAAACAAAACAAGGTGGCACATAAAGCCAACCATGGCAATCAGACAAAGAACCGGCCTCTCTAGCAATCAGATGGGATGCATGATTCGTTGATCGCTTTATAAAGCAGAAACACAACTCAATAACATATGCTGCGACTTCTTTAATATCATCTATAAACAAACAGACAAATAGACGGTAGGTTGTGATTGAATTTGTACAATGAATCATATTTATAGAGAAATTAGTTAATAAAATTATCAAAACGGGTCCAGTGATTGATGTAAGCTTGTACGAGCTACATTGACCCGTATTGATAGTTCTATATATACACCATATATATAGGATTGTTCATGTGATAATATGCTCCCACGTAAATATAGAAGAGGGTAGAGTTCAAACTTTGGTACGTAGAAACAATTTAGAGTTGAAATGAGGTGTTTATTGTTAAGATGTTGGAGGAGGCCGGACAAATTTGCAGACCAACCGTCTCACCCATTAGATATTTAAAGGTGCCCACAATTCAATGGGATTAGTTACTAAATTTGATGGTAAAAATCCTGAATATATATACACAAAAAAAAAAAAAAAAAAAAAAAAAAAAACTAGTCTAACTAAGGGCCGGTGTGTTTAATTTGGTTCGCACATGGAATTAGAATCAGAATGAGAATCAAATACTTGGAAATGATAATGAGTTTTGCTGGAAGTATTTTGCATATTTGGTAGTAAAGTGGAATTAGAATGATTACCAATATTGATGTTTGGTTATGTATGTATGACCCGTGCAATTGATCCTAATATAATAACATTCAAAGCACTAATATGAACAAAAAAATCAAAACAAATATATAAAAGCATTAATTTAAACTTAAAAATCATATTACCAATAAGATAGAATGATATCCGTTTTTAATTAGGATACTCCGATTATTATAAACAAAACAAAGAAAAGTAAAGATGGCTTCCTAGCTAGTTGGTAGGGTTGCATTGTGAAATATGAATGCATTATCTATCCATCATAGTATAGTTGGGAGTTGAGGTAGCTTCATTTTCCCAGCTCTCTCACTACTATACCCTTTTCCATAACTTTAGCTGAGACAAGTGTCGTGGGATGGGTGTAACAGGAGAATGTCCTGTCTAACATATATGCTAATTAAACAAGAATTGAAGTCGCCCCACGTATAGTCGAAAGGTTGAATGTGAGTGTAATAATATCCAATAAATATTCGGATTCAAATCTTTAATAGATCAGTGAAAAGATCTTAATTAATCTTGAAATACAAAATAAACACTTAAATATCATATATATCTTGCGATTTATCTCTTCTCGGGCCGAGCCTCGGGTTTCAACCTAAGATGGAAGAAGTGATGGAGGTGCACGATATGGTCTGCGGGCTGAGGCTGCAGGCACATACTCCAATTGGGTTCAGCATAGCTTCCACTGCACGTGATCATGCCATACTATACATACATACATACATATATTCTCCCTTTTGCTCTTCCCCATAATATATATATATATATATATATATATATATATATATATTCCCTTTTTTTTTTTTTTTTTGTTTATGGGTTTAGCTTTATGATAAACCTCCTGCTGCTGCTCAGCTCCACTGCATAAAGTTAGTCCTTCCCCCGCCAAATAAAACCACAGTAACAAATGATCATTGTACATAGGTCCGGCCTGCAGGTAGAACATGTGTAGTTCGATGACTTATTTGACCTTTATTTTCATATTTATATATCTATGACAAGTACAATTAAGATATAGAAATGAAGAAACACAGTTTCTGATCTTGTTATAATTAAGATTCTAAATATCAATTGTTGGGATTAAATACACACTATTATGTCAAAAATTGTAAAGGCACAATTTTATTTCCTTATACTTGCATTGTTAGATTTAAATACAAAAACTTGACTTCGTAGTAGCAAATTTGGGTTGATCTCCCACCATAATTAATTAATGCCCTACCTTTCAATTGTGTTGTTTCTCGAACAGTAGACCTAGAATAACGTTAGCACTTTTTGTGTTTACATGTTATATAGTTCTTTGGCCAACTTAGGACAAAGGAATTGAAGGAGTGAGTATTAGGGGACATTTGTATTATTTTAATGAGTTTGAGGTTAAACCTTTTATGATGAAACATATTACGGAGTATATTCTTTTTATTTCATTTAACATGTTGTATTTATTATTTATTGGTAAAATTACCTATTTTATTATTTATTTATTTTTACTATTTTTGTGTGTGTTTAATAGTACTTTTAATGTAACTTTTAAATATATAAATTTTATATATTAATATATTAAACTAGACATTTATGAAAATTTGAATTGTAAATAATTTTAGTTAAGACTCGTTAATCAAATTAGACATAAACAATGAACAAATGAAGTATTACTTTAGTTGACATTTATTTGTATTATTTTTTAAGGTTATTTTTTATGTCACCATTTTATAATACAAGTATTGAATTCTAGTATGCACAATAATATGATAGGATTTCAATTCCTATAGTATTAATAATATCATATACAATAAGTATATAATAATATTTTGTTGTATCAAGTATTGTAGGTACTAATATTATAAAAAGTAAATGTGAGACCTAATTTAGTTCTTAATGAGAGCACCAATAATACAACATTCAAGTTAAGATCTCAACTCTCACTATAAAATGTAGCTAAAGGAGGTTTAACCTAACTTAAGTGTCATTATACAATCTGTCGTAGAATTGATGTGGCTCTACAAGAAAACAATATAATACGGAACCAACAAATTTAACAATGTATTAAACAGGTGTTTTACAAATTAAATTTCGTTGATAAATCAAATACCTACATATTTCAGTAATTTATTTACAGTTTTTTATTATTAAATTTGTTTTTTTCTTGTAATGTGAAATCGTATAACTGTCACATATAGTAGACAAAGTAATTTCGATTTTGTTTTAGGGCAAAAGCAAATTTTATTTAACATCCAATCAACATATGCGTCGGTATTGATTGATTTCATTCAATATAATACATACACATACGCAGATCAGACTTGTACTTTGTTTTATTTACTGCATGAGATTCCCTCAGCATATATCACCATCAACTATATATGCACAAGTACTCAATCTTTCTTTGCTTACAATATTGCAGACTTTGCTTTCTTCTCAATTCATATATACATCTAGGGATGTCAATCTAAGTCCAAAATTGACGGATTAATTAATTCGATAAGATTAAAAAATTATAGGGTTAAAAAAAAGGAATTTATTATTTAGTTGAACCCTCACGATAAGTACATTCGATAGCCCAATATTTTAGGATTAGGGCAAAAATTTTTGAACCCAATAAGCTGAAGCAATAAACCGGACAACTTGACAAGATTAATGCGAAACTAAACGAACTGGACTAATTGACATCCATATATATATATATATATATATATATATATATATATATATATATATATATATATGTAATATAATTCTTTTTAAGGTACCCGTATAAAATACAATAATATCTAATATATTTGATTATATAGAATACGTACTATTGACATCTATACTGATAATATACAATATGACCCCAAAAAAAAAAAAATAGTATACATATTGTACCCAACAATATCTATCGGTGTAGATTGGCAATTAATCAAAGTATATATCATGTAGTGTAGTAACGTTATGTTTGACTTGCTAGGGCAACAATCCCACTTATTCCCTACCATCGTATAGTAATGAATATTATGGAGTACGTATAACTTTTCATGATATTGGTGAATTAAAAAAAAAAAAAAAAAAAAAACTCTTAAAAAAGAATTTGACAAAACCCTGGATGTTTGGTTTAAGTTATCTAAAATGTGTTGATAGTTGATTTGTGTTAGTTGATTTGACTATATGATTATGTTAGCTGGTTAGACCAATTGATAGTGTTAACTAGTTATAGACTATTTACTCTTATACATGTAAAATGCCGTATAAAGATATAATAAGTCTATTGTGCTATTTACTTAACTTTTAAAATAATTTTTATAATGCAAAAACTTGTGCGAGACCGTCTTATGGATCCTTGTTAATGCGGCGGGTTGGGTCGAGAAGAATGTGACACTTATACTGAAAAATGTAATACTAATAAGGAGTAAAGTGTTTGCGTTGTTACTTATAAGGAAAACTGTAAATAATTTACATTTTGGTTTAAAAGTACTGTATTTTTCTTCAAAAATATTACATTTTTCATTATAAGTAGTAAACACTTTATTTATAATTAGTAGTACATTTTTCAATATATATGTTATTGAATTTCCATTTTGACCCGACCTGTCTCACATATAAGAATCCCAATATAAACTAAAATACAGTTTGTGCACATTTTTTTTCGCATCCATTTAACATTAATCTAATATTCTATGAACCAAGTGTCTATTGAGGGATTATACTTTCTCGCCTAACCATCTATGTACTGCACACACAAAATTAAGATCGAGAAATTATGGATTAATTCAATCAAATTAACAAAGTGTTGCATGTAAATAATTTAGCCTATAATCATAAGGCAAATAGATTATGGAAATAATGAACAATCACATCTCCATTATATTATATATATAATGAGACATTGAAACTCAGCCATAAGCTAGAACTAGAATTGAGTGCAAAAGATGGTAAAATAGTTAGCTTATCAGTCAATTTTGACTTATTTGATCACTATTAATTGTTTAATTTAGTTAAAAAATAAATATAAGTATTTGGTTAATTAGCTTTTTGTAATTTCAAAATGCTAAATTTCAAAAAGCTGCTCAAAACAACTTTAATTTTTCAATTAGCTTTTCGAGACAAAAAGGTTATAGTAATAATTAAATAGCTATTAACTAACAGCTAATTTATCAAACACTACTTTTCTACAATCAATCAATGTTACAACTAGTTATACCCTCTAATTAATTCAATCAGTTAACAGCTAACAACTATTTACCAAACAGGGTTTATATATTGATTACGAATTGATGAAGTGGTCAAAAGTCAAAACCCTAGCTATACCTAGTCCATGGATGAGAATCATATCCTAGCTTGTTGCAAACAGGCAGTCTACCACAGTGCTACTAACACTGATTGCAATTATTATTGTTGCACCGACCCAAAATATATAATTAAATTTAGGGATATAGTCTAAAATTTATTTCATCATGCTATATTTTAGAAATTGAAACTCCATATAGACTATGATTGTCATGTTTTTATTATTATTCTTTTGCTGAACAACAAAATACATACAATTTTTATATACCTAAGTATATAAATAACTAACCGTTATATGCCTTTCTTGAAAGTACATGAAATTAAAAGGCGTTGTATATCATGTTCTGTCATATATCATCTATAAAAATTCCTTATAGTTTATATTTATATTATATATTAGGCAAACAAGTTATCTAAACAGTTTATTATTTAACAATGTATAGTAGAGCAGTAAAACAACAAATGCATTATTATATTATAACATGCTTAGCTTGACAAGCCCGAAACAAGAGCTTAGATTAAGTTTTAATTTGTCCCAGAAAGATACGTTAACTAACGTCAAAACCTAAATCTGTTGTTTTTTTAAGAACTTATGAATCAAATTTACAATGTATGTAACTGAAAGATGACTAAATTAAATTTACATTATTGTTATAATTGAGCAATTAAGAACTTGTTTATTAACGGACAGTGTTTTCTATTTTCTGTATTTTAATTTTTCAATTTTCATTCCATGTTTTATGTTTCTTGTTTACTAACACTTATTTTTTAAAATTTATATTTTTAGATTAATATTATAAAATTACCATAAGTTTCATTTCAAGTGATTTTTAGATATTATATTTAAAATATATTTGATTTAAATAGAATAAATATAAACTTTACTTTTAAGTCCAATATATGTAAAAAATTTACATTTAATATCTGAACCAAATTTATATATGTGTATATAATATAGCTAGAAATATATCCAAACTAATTAATAATCTATTAAGTTCACCTATAATTTAGTTTTGATAATATTAATATTTTTTGAGTTAATAATTAAAATATTTTTGAATATATTCTTTTGAATGACATGTATATAAATATATAATTTTACTTTAAATATAGTAATATATGTGAAATTTCAATATCAAATATCCGGACCAAACTTGTATTACGATATAGCATGACTAAAAAATCACAACTAATAATAATCAATTCAGTTCAATCAAAATATAAAATTTAGTATAAAGTTAATTTTTAATTTTGATAATGTAAATAATGTTTAACTTTAAACATAAGCAAATAACATAAGCAAATAAGTTATGTTTAAACAAGTAATGCAAGTAGAAAAGATAGAAAATAATAATAAGTAAATTAAAAAAAGATGATACTGAATGTAATCATAGTAATCAATAAATATGTAATTAGATAAGGGTGATAAGAATGTGATTATATATAGTGACATATATCTAAATATATGATAGATAATTAATTATATTTTCTGTTTTCTAATTCTCTAGTTTTTCAAATTTTCAGTTAGTGAATAGCCCTAAATGTGTGGATATTTAATTATATGACCTAAAATTTTGGTGAAGATGAGAATGATTGAGGGATATAATGATTATAAGCTAGGGGTTGTGAACTTTGATGGCTGTCATTGTATATATGTATGGTTTCGAGATTCTTTCATCTTTATGGGTACCAACAATAACACACTAATACGCAAGCAGCCTCGCCAGAATATTGCAGTGCCTTCCTTTTTCTCTCCCCTGTAACCACGTGAATATATATATATATATATATATATATATATATATATATATATACAATAATTTATACATATTAAAAGTAGAATAGGTTTTATTACCGTGCTATTTTTACTAGACATACATCTATCATTAATATATAATATATTATTGCTTGTGATAGTCTACCAGCATTCCGAGACTTATAAGTTAATTGAGACACATTTTATAATTTATTTCGATCATTCACCGGTTTCTAGTGCAAATTAAAAACTGTAAGACCCTTAAACTTAGGGTTCAAACTTATATATTATTTGTTAGTTAAGATTATAAGATGTGATTTACCACATACATACCCTCGGGTAGTGATCGACTATAAAATTTTCTCGTCGTCACTAAAAAGACTTATATATTGTTTGTGATAAATCATGATGAATTTGATGGTTTTAAAAGGTTTTGGTCGAGAGAGAAGCCAAAACATATAAAAGAATAAATAACATTACTTCATAAAAAAAAAAAAAAGTTGTGAATACAAGGAGGGGAGGAACCCCAAACCCTGACCATACCCGAACTACTAGACTGGGAATCGAACTTGTAAGTTTAATTAGAACGTGTTTTATATGGTTCAATGAACTCCTAACAGGGTAAGAGAAGGTCACAAAATATCAAGGAATCGGAGTATATATATCACATTTTAAGTTATTGCAAGATCTAACAAAAATTATGTTACTAAAATGATTAAAAACAATGAAATTAAAAATGAGATTATTACTAAAGTGATAATAAATACCTGGCTAGTCCATCTGAAAGAAGTAGAGAAATGTTGCATTATATGCTTCTCCTTTACTGCTGCAGCCAAGCATATATAACATGACAGCAAAACCTAGCTAGCTTGAACAGTGACTAGCTACAAAAGATAAGCTTCAAAATGTGAAAATGTAAGTAAAGTCATACTGTTTGAGTAGCACAGGTCAAGTATATGCATAACATATATACGGGATGGGAATATGCTTGGCTCCTCATACGCCATTCAACGAGGCCATCGACGTCTCGGTGAGCCCTGCAAATGGCATACAGGGAGCCAGGCATATACGTACATATGTATACATATACCTAGCCGAAAACCTCGTAGTCTGACATAAAAATCTCAAGTTTAATAATCACTTTCCCCCATCATATCAAAGGAAGTGTGTGTGTGTGGTATATACATACATTCAAATGTTTGCCCTAAAAATCAAGGTTTTCACATGAATGACCATTTGAGGAAGATGGACTATGATGAAGGTAGCTAGGGCAAACTAAAAGAATTGCAAAGTGTGGGCTAAATTAATTATATTCTTTGAGGATGAAATCAACTAGAAATACAAAGTGATCAAGAAGATTATATATTAGAGAATGAGAATTGAATGAGTGGGAAAACAAATTAAAACCTAACAAATAAAAAAAAAGAATCTTGTATATGTATGTATATATACACCTAGCTCCAACACCACACCCACAACCTCAAAAAACCAAACATGCCCTTTGGTGGCGGTGGTGGTCCGGCTAAGAATGACAAAGAACCACCGGTGGCCGGCGGCCGGAAAAACTAACCATAGCTTGGGTAACTACACACACATGTATATATAGGGTCATGGTGATGAGGTTTTTGATTGTTTTGTGGGTTTAATTTGTTCTGCAACGAAGACAGAAAGATGCATACAAAGATATATAGATGGGAGTGGTGAGGGGGTTAAGTAAGATATATCCTTGGGGGTGGGGGGTGGGGTGCTCATGCTTGATGCTTCTAACCACGCAATTTCCTAAGCTTTCTTTATTGTAAAAAAAAGTAGTATATATAATGTATTTTGGTTTTTAATAAAAAAAAGGATGGTAAAGCAAAGGTTGCTTTAGTGGTCAGAAGGAAATTTGTCTGGGAGTGGTTGGACGACATGGATTCCTACCATCTCCCTTTCCTTTCTACTTTCTATCTTTCTTTTTTTGAGCAAAAGTGAAAGAGAGGCGCGCGCACACTGCATCTCAACTTTTTACCACCTTTTTTTTTTTTTTGGTTAAATTATATATATCATGATTGCAGCAGGCGCTATGCACTAGTGGAGAGGTAGAGTAGTGTCTAGCGCCTAAACGATCTAGGCTGACGCAGTGGCGGACCCAGAAATCTTTTTCAGTGGGGGCGAAAAATTAAACCTAATGAGATATATTTTTTAAAAATGAATTGAAACACTTAGACCGAGTCATAAATATTGTTGACTAGAGATAAAAAAAAATCAAAATATATAAAGACAAAAAAAATATTTAAAACAAAATATAAAACATAATTAATTACATAAAATAGTTTGAATGAAAAACACATTATAAATCACTCATCTCACTATTAATATTAAAAAAAAAAGAAAAAAAAAAGAGAAAAAGTCTCAATGGTACAAATAAAAAAATTCAATTATAATTCTTATTATTAATATTAAAAAATGTCAAGAACAAAAGTTCACTCATCTCACTATTAATATTAAAAAATGACAAAAAAGAAGCCAAACCAAATAAAATGAAAACAAAAAAGAAGCCAAGCAATAGGGTTCGAACTCTAGCCATCTACACTATTATTATACAATACAGGGGCTTTTAATTGCCATCTAAGCAGAACTAACTATTGGTTAAATCTTAGTATATATAATATATATAGTATATATATGTGGTGGGTGAGTGGGGGCAGCTGCCCCCACTTCCCCCACACTAGGTCCGCCACTGGGTAGACGCTTATGTGACTAACTAAAAAAAACAGTGCATGTGTGTGAGTGTACATATGTCATATTATACACACACATATACTGACACTTATTAGGAGAGAAATCGCCAAAGTCTAGTAGCACTTAGCGCCTAGAAGGGCGCCAAACCGATTTTTGCAACAGTGTGTATATATATATATATATATATATATATATATATATATATATATATATATATATAACGGATCAAATGCAAATGCAAATGATAGCTTAGGTGAAAATTGGGGTGGGGTGGGATGGGATGGGGGGAGGGGAGTAGTGAGAACACCCACATAAATAAAAACTGTATATTGATCTCAATTGATAATCATAAGAAGATAAATGGCTGTAAAGTAAAGAAACATGGAACAAACGATGTGACATTTTTTAAAAATATTTAATTTCAAACTTTGAAAGCGCATTCGATGATATATAGAAGTTTACTTGAGAGAAATAGTCACATATCACTGAGTACACTTTGTTTACTTGAGAGAAATATAAGTCACATATCACTGAGTACACTTTGTTTATTGACTATATATTACGCTTTGTAATGTTGATCAATGCACTTTTTTGTATGTTGGTCAATGCACTCAAGCTAGAGAAGCTAGTACTTTTGTTTATTGATAATTGCACTTTGTAGTATTGGTCGATGCACTTCAAAGTTTCATATATATATTTATCAAAATCTTTTCATCAGTCCGTAATTTTTACCTAATTTATTTAATATGAAAATTGTTAGGACATCATTTTTATTCTCGATTATAATTATCTACAACAATACTATCTTTAATACGTACTATTTTTATTACAAGTTGAAAATACTCATTTTGATTATATTAAAAATAATCTTTTTTATTATATATATTAATTATTAATATTTAAAAATTTTACTAGGTATTTACTTATTTTAATTTTTGTGTTGGATATTAATTTAATCGTGCACGTATTATAACTAGTTATAAAACCTATAAGAGTGAATCCATGTTGATGTTGTTGTTGTTATTGTTATTATTATTATTATTATTATTATTATTATTATTATTATTATTATGTCTATTGAGTTGTATAATGCATTACAAATATTAATATATTATACTACTCGTATTATTTTTAACTACAGTATAATATCTTTTATGGACCAATATTACTCCATGCTTTTTAGTTAGATGGACTTACACAAATTTTTTTTACACATTAAATATAAAAAGTAATGGGGGTTATACAATTTTTTTACACTAATTAAAAATTAAAAAATAACGGGAGACTATTGTCTTTCTTTGGCTTTCTTGGGGCTTAACTAGCCATTCCACCATCCACAAAATAAATAAATAAATAGACAAATAGAAGTTGCAATTACAACTTTCAACTTTTAGACAATATATTTAATATTTATAGCGAAATAGTAATATTTTTCAAATAAATATATATTAGATTGTTTTTTTAATTTATAATTCAAGTTTTCGAACGATTGAACCTTGCCACTAAATGTATATTTGGTGATTATCTGATCTTGACAATATCAAGTTAAGTGTGTCGGGTTAGGAATTGTTTGTGCAGTATCAGTAAACTTAGTTGGTTCTTTGATAGAACCGTCGACGTATCCAAAGAGATTAAAGTCTATCAGTGTGGACTGAAATTGGCATCTCCAGACAGGAAAGTTGATGGAGGTGAGTTTGATTGAGAAATTAGATGGAGCATTAAGCTGAACAATATCATTAGTGGTTGTAGCCATGTTTAAAGAATGGCGAAAAAAAAAAAAAAAAAACAACTTCTTTGAGGATTATGGCTCCAATACCATGTGAGGAAAAAAATTGTACGTTTATTGATGTAAAGTATGAACTATATATAGTACATAAAGGAGAATAAACAGAAAGGAGTTGCAACAACTACTCAAGGGAACTATTCTACAGAAACATAAATATAACAAATAATAACTAAATTAAATACTAGCCACACATAGACTTAACATATTACTCCTATATTTATATATTATAACTAATCTTACCAACCTGCATCCTAATAGAACCAAATTATTTAACCTGTACGTAGTTCCATTCTGTTAACTACTTTCTTGTTTTTTATTTAGTTCCATTTGATTTTCTGTTCTAATGTCTAAGATAACACGTTTATCACTATATTAAAAATTATAATTAATAGTGAATATGTAATTTTATTTTCTTATACTTACACCAGTTAATGTCACATTTTTTATGGCAAGATATAACACTCGACTCTTTGAATTACCGTCCAACAACTAAGTTTTTCAATACAATACAAAAAAAAAAAAAAAAAAAAAAAAAAAAAAAGAATTACAGAAAGCGTATTCAAACCACCCCAAACATATTATTCTTCTCCAAAAAATGTTAAAAATCAATCTCAAGGGTTTCCACGCTATGACCCGATAATGTATTTGAGATGATGTAAATTACAGTGTCTCAATGGTTCAGCAGACAGAGCCAAAAGTCCGTACCCAAACATAATATGCTTTCGACTGTGGCTGAACGTCATACGGCACAACCGCAAAGGTATAGCGTCGAAGAGGAAAATTCCTCAGTTTAGTCACCATCCAATTCCAATCCGCAGTATGCTAAGGACATCCAATGCAGTAAAGATAAATTAAGTGAGTGTTTGGTTCATGGATTTAGCTATTAGAAATAGGAATCAAAGTTATTCTTATTGTTTGGTTGACAGATTTTTAAAACATTACTATGAGATTTGATTACCTAATTAAAAACTTATTCCTTAATAAAATAAGGCTTTCATTCAATTCCATTATTACTCCTCCTAATTGATAATTTGATTTTTAAATTTGGATTAGTACTTTTAGATTTTTGTTTTTATTTTTTGTGTTTAGATTGATGCTTTGGATGTCTTTATATTAGAATAAATTGTCTTGATTTTTTATTCTTGGTATTTTTAAACCTTTATTCTCAATTCCACATTACTACCAAATAGCAATATTGATAATCATTCTAATTCTACCCTACTACCAAACATGCAAAATAGTTTCACCAAAACTGATTACCATTACCACGTATTTGATTCCCATTCCAATTCCGATTCTCATGTGCGAACCAAACACACCCTTTTAATTTTTCACGTAAATAAATTTTGAGATAAAGGTCACATATGCCCTCCAACTATAGGCTAAATGCAATTAAGCTTTTAAATTTAGAACTTCAATTAGATACCTTAATTCCTCATTTTTATGTAATTAGGTTCATTAACATGTTACATTTAGGTAACTTGTAAAAATATTTTTTGTTTAATTCAAAAAATTAGTTAAAAATCCTTAAAAGTATTTATTTTTAATTCAAAAAAATTAACTAAAATTTTTAAAAAATGTTTATGGAGAAGCGAGACATCCGGCTACTCCATCCAACTAGACAGAGAAAATTACCAACTTCTTTGTCGACGGAGAAGCCAGCAATGCATATTTTTTTAAAAAAATTTATATTTAAATTATTTTTTTTAAAAAAAAATTAATTTTACCTGCTATTACCTTGAGATTATCTGTGAATTGATTAAATTGCACATATTTAAAAAGTTATTGACTATAGGGTCAAGTCGGCAGACAGTGTTTCTTGTGCAGTCGTGCGGTCACTCACCATTAGGTACGCATAAATGCACCACAAAGTGTTCAAAAATGCCACATTAGGTGTGGTGCGTTTTGGGGCGCATTTATGCATTTCTGAATATTGTGTGGTGCATTTATACATATCTGATGATAAATCTGCACCGACTGCACATGAAGCATTGTCTGCATTTGAACCAGTACCATTGACTGTATAAAAAGGGGAGGGACACTCAGAGAAAAAAAAAAAAAAAAAAAAAAAAAAAAAAAACAAAGGTTAGCTGGTACAAGCAGAAACTCTCCTTAGCTTGGCTCGCCAAGTCCCATTCAATGTCCAACAAATTGAAAGTGTTTTTGTTAATTCATGTATTTTATT